TCTTCATTGTTTATCATAGCGTAGTTGAGACAGGCATTGTATTCAGGAAACAAAACAGTAGTTGTTGGGTGAATACTCTCATATATTTGAGTTTCCAGCTCGTCAAGCAGGGGAAGACAATACACGGCCTGTTCTGGCGGGGGTGTTAATAGGCACCAAGCACACTTGCAGGAAGGAATGTCCACAATCTCAAACACAGACAACAGACTGGCCATAAACCATGATCAACTGTCTAACATGTTCAGGCCAACAAGAAGATGTTCTTGTTCCAGTTCTGCACCGTTCCTCCTGTTACTTCTTCTCAAACACAGGAACATACTATGTCCGCTTGAATTCAATCTGTCTGCTAAACAGGGGAGAGTGTGAGTGAGCACAGTTTTACAATCTTCTCGAGACAAGGGAAACAACTGACTTTAAAAGTCCAGTTTCCACCCTTGCCGAACTAGACCGCCTCCGTGGTTTTGTGGTAGAACATCCGCCTGGAGGGCAGAAGGTCATTGGTTTGATCCCCTGACGCGTCTTATCAAAAGAGATGGTACCCTGTCAGGCGCTCGATATTAAGGGTCTAAAAAAAGGACTGGTTGGCTCAGAATCAGTTTACTGTGTCTGAGTTTGGTATTCATGTTAAACTCAGTGAGCTAGCACTATAAATCGGCATCAGTCCGGAGTAGTACAAGCAGCCACACAAACACACACGTGCATGCAAGTCGCTATATAAGTGCAATAATCTTGGACGTGAAACCCATTTCACTGCACCTTGCCAAACTTGTCTGGTAATATGGAGTTATAGTTTGGCTCGACTAATGAGTCTATGCATAGTCCAATCAAAATCGTATTACGAATCTACATAAATTCGTAAACTGTTGTGCAGATTTCAATCAGTTGCATGATGTGCAAAACATGTGTATCACCAACTAGGTGTCAACAGATATTTTCCAAATCTTTTCATGTTTTGAATAAATGTGCACATGTGATTTGATGCACTTTGTGATGTAAGATCCATTTTATCACAATATAGATCTTGATTATCGATCAGATTGTCTTGACTGGGCACCGTCATTTTGTTTGAAGCAAATGCAAGTAATATGAGAGGTGGGATCTGATTGGTCAATAGGAGAGACATAGAATGGACATAACTCATAATAGCCACTGGTGGTGCTACGATCGAGCCCAGAAATTCCTGCCTTGTTTGGGAAGGGTGAAAACTTGACTTTCACAGTCAGTTAGCTCCTTTGCTTCGGAAAGATGAGTTTTACACCACATTTCCAGTATTCCATCAATATCCCACAAGCCAAGTATGACCTTCACATTTGAAATCAAAGCCTGATGTTTGACATCATCAATACAACAATTAACAAGGCTGCCCAGAGACAAAAACTGGCGCTAGCTTAATTTCTACAACCACAATATCCAACAAGCATGTATTGCTATGGAAACTTGAAAAATAACTTTTTCAAACATCCCAAACTATCAAAAAGCACCAGTTTACCATTAGACCTATCTTTGTGCCAAGTTTGGTAAAAACATATTGCACAGTTTTCAAGAAAGGAGCACTACAACCATTTTCAGTCTTAGTCAAAGTCACTGCCATGAAAACTCAGAAAATAATTTTGTCAAAAATCACAAACTATCAAAAGGCACAAGTTCACCACTAGTCCTATCTATGTGCCAAGTTTGGTTAAGATGTCTCTCATGTTTCTTTAGTTCTGCTCCGGAAAGAAATCCGGATAGAAGGACGGATGGGCAGCACCCATTCCTATATCCCCCTTCCACTTTGTGGGCTTAGTGATGTAGTGAGCTTAAACTAATTAAAGTCATCCTGCAGCCAGTTGTGGAAACAAACCTTCTCAATGACCACTGGACTATTGCCAGATTAGTAGTATGCAGCCTTGAAATACATGACAAACTAGAGACATGAGTTCCTGAAACAGATCCGACATATACCTTTTACCTGTGGTGTTGTTACAGAGATAAAAGGCTCTATTGGACATGCTAGTGATTCAGCACATGCCAAAGTGACAATCCTGCCAGACAGTGCCAGAGGAAGATGGTAGCAGCAACTCTCAGATGGTGTCGGCACTGTGGAATGCTGCAGAGAGCCAGCAGAGGAAGAACACAATGTAGGAAATACCTGCGTTCTGGTTTTGTGTGTTTATGCATGGACTGCGCCTGACAGATGCTAATGAAGATGGTTGTAGGTATGTAGACATCTGTGTGGATGACGCTTATCTACACATTGCAGTCTCAAGTCAGGCAGTGTATCTGGCACCAGACCGACAGGCGCCAAGTTTGTATCACATAGAAGACCAATAGTGCCAATGTCCTGAACTGTCAATAAGATGATCACACAGAAGACAAAACCACTGGCGCCAATGTCCTGTAAAGCCTTAAACAGTCAATAAGATGATCCCATAGAAGACAAAACCACTGGCGCCATTGTCCTGTAAAGCCTTGAACAGTCAATAGAATGATCACACAGAAGACAAAACCACTGGCGCCATTGTCATGTAAAGCCTTGAACAGTCAATAGAATGATCACACAGAAGACAAAACCACTGGTGCCATTGTCCTGTAAAGCCTAGAACAGTCAATAAGATGATCCCACAGAAGACAAAACCACTGGTGCCAATGTCCTGTTTAGTCTTAGACAGCCACAAAGATTATATCTCACAGAAGATAATACAGGACAATAAATACTAGAATGTCCAGATCAAATCTTTGTCACCTTATTAATGTGAGACTCACTTCTAGTATTTGTATGAGTTTCATGGGGGCATTAGGTTTGTGATATCCAGAAAACTGACGATATAAAATCCAACTTAACAGGTGTTTAATGAATATTAATGTTTGGTGCCAAATTCGCGTCAGATGAAAATAGTCCCTAATAAACACAAGAACCACACTCTTGATCTACCAATTACTGCTTGTGTAGGTTGGTGATGGTTTTCCAAGGTCATTTTTGACATGGATGTGACTCATGAAGCACCGTAACTTGTGGAAACAAAACATCTTGGGTCAGATCAACCTTTAGAGAAAATGCAATATCTTGGTACAGCATCAACAACTGGTTGTAAAACTAACATCTTCATCATCTTTCTTCAACTATTCCTGCCAAATATGTTACCATGACAGTGAAGGCATGTTGTAATCTGCTTCTCCAGCATTGTGATGCAGTGTATGATGAACATGCTGGGGGTCGACGTTTCAGGTCTCCACATAGTTTTGGTTGGGGTGTTTTTGTGATTGAAAGTCATGGGTTAAAGTGAGGCATATCGCATAACAAATAGGTAGAATATCACTAACATAGCTGCTTAGAACAAGTTACTGTACATAATGACGTGACATTTTAGGAGTAGCTGGGGTGGATTAGTCCAGGATGGGGATTGAGATGAGGGGAGGGGTTGGTAGATGGGAGGGTAGAGGCAGGGAAAGTAAGAGTGTTGTGAGGGGAGGGTGTTGGTGAATGGGTGTGGTTTAGGGCAAGTTTGGGTTAATGTTTGTTTGTTTGTTGTTTGACGTTGCACTAGCAATATTCCAGCTATATGACGACAGTCTGTAAATAATCGAGTCTGGACCAGACAATCCAGTGATTGACATCATGAGCATCGATCCACATGCATCAAGCAAGTCAGCGAGCCTGACCACCTGCTCCTGTTAGTTCCCTCTTACCACAAGCATAGTCGTCTTTTACGGCAAGAATGGGTTGCTGAAGACCTATTCTACCCCAGATCTTCACAGATCTTGGGTTAATGGTAGGGCAGTGGTGAGGGATTGAAGAAGGGGGGAAGTGATGGGATGTGGTGTTGAGGGCTTAGTGAAAAGTGTTGGGGCTGTCATGGTACTAATCAAGGCTGGGGAGAGATGAGGCAATGGGAAGGTTGGGTTGGTGGGGTAAGGGAAGAGACGGGGTGACGGCAGGGTGGAGGTGAAGGGGATGGGTCACGGCTGGCAGGGGGACTGAATGGTAGGAGTTTAAACATGGGTGGGGAGAGGGACATGTCTGTGATTGATGGGGACGGTGTAAGGCTGCAGATGCTGTCATTTTAGTGAGCTATGTGGAACACTATGACAATGCTGGCATCACAGGCATATCTGGTTAAAACACATCTTTGTCTAATGCACCTCCATTTCCCCCTCTTATAGTCCCCACAGATCAGGCCTCACATTCATCACCCTGGGTTGGGCCCTACTTGCAACCATATGGCAGTCTGTTGTTATTATACAGTTGTCAAAGCCCAAAGTGATGCAAGTCTCAGATGTTTACCACTTTAGTGAAACCTATGAGCATGGGTATGGTGGTGAAAGGCCTAGAAACATAACTGTGATTTGAACCCAAGTTTTCTGGTGTGCCCAAGGGACACAACTCTGCACAGCGAATCGCTGCACCTTAGACGACTGGGACACCAGTGCCCGCAATAACAAGAAGGGCCCTCTGTCAGTGAGTGAGTGAGAATACATGATGCTTCATTACACTTGGGCAGACAGTGTCACCATGACAACATGGTCTAGTTGTTGAGAGAGGGAGGAGTGCCACCATTACCAATACCACATCAAGGACACCAAGGATTTGTTTTGGGTTTTTGGGTGTTTTACGCCGCTCTTAGCAATATTCCAGCTATATGACAGCGGTCTGTAAATAATGGAGTCTGGACAAGACAATCCAGTGATTAATATCATAAGCATCGATCCAAGCAATTGGGATCGATAACATGCATCAACCAAGTCAGCCAGCCTGACCACACGATCCGTTAGTCACCTTTTACGACAAGCATAGTCGCCTTTTACGGCAAGCATGGGTTGCTGAAGGCCTATTCTACCCCGGAATCTTCAGGGGGGACACCAAGGATGGACTTGACACATTCTCACCAAAAAACCTGTGTGGAGTTGGTTAATACAAAACATAATTGGATGGACAGAATCTCATGGCCATGAGACAACCATGATCAACATCAGTGGGACTGATCCCTAACAACTGTTGAGTAGCATATGTAACTACTTACTGTACATGCAGCCTTCGTTAGCCAGCTGTTGCCATCCGTGACAACATCGGAACTTGGTACGGTGCTGAGGCTGAAACCTCTCCTTGTATGTCGTGTAGTAGTGAGTCCTGCAACAACAACCATACTTCAATATGCTTTATTAACAACCATATACTTCAATATGCTTCATTAACAACCATATACTTCAATATGCTTCATTAACTTCAATATGCTTCATTAACAACCATATACTTCAATATGCTTCATTAACAACCATATACTTCAATGTGTTTCATTAACAACCATAATTCAATATGCTTCATTAACAACCATAATTCAATATGCTTCATTAACAACCATATACTTCAATGTGTTTCATTAACAACCATAATTCAATATGCTTCATTAACAACCATACTTTAATATGCTCCGCTAACAACCATATACCTCAATACGCTTCATAAAATACCATATACTTCAATATGCTTCATTAACAACCATATACTTTAATGTGTTTCATACACAACCAAAATTCAATATGCTTCATTAACAACCATATACTTCAATATGCTTCAAAACATCCAGATACTTAAATATTCTTCACAAACAATCATATATATACTTCAGTGTGTTTTATAAAGAAAGCTTAAGCTTGAATGTATTCATCAACAACATATACTTCAAAAAGCTTCATTAGCAACCATATACTTCAAATGAACTTCAATGTTTGGCTTATTGTGACATCATTCTGAGATGTGCCAAATAGTTCTCACTTGTGTTGAAGTAGGAGGATAGATTTTGTCCACATGACACACATAGATTTATCCCATCTGAAAATCTAATTGGAAGCAGACGAGGGCAAGAGCTTGTCGAAAATTCACACAACTATGAATCCCTTGCATTGGCATAACAGATGAAGTTGAAGTTGCAGCATGTGACAGGTGAAGCTGAAGTTGCAGCATGTGACAGATGAAGTTGTGTTTGCGTCCTGTGACAGATGAAGTTGTGGTTGCAGCAGATGAAGTTGAAGTTGCATCCTGTGACAGATGAAGTTGTGTTTGCATCCTGTGACAGATGAAGTTGTGTTTGCATCCTGTGACAGATGAAGTTGTGTTTGCATCCTGTGACAGATGAAGTTGTGGTTGCATCCTGTGACAGATGAAGTTGTGTTTGCATCCTGTGACAGATGAAGTTGTGGTTGCATCCTGTGACAGATGAAGTTGTGGTTGCAGCAGATGAAGTTGAAGTTGCAGCATGTGACAGATGAAGTTGTGGTTGCAGCAGATGAAGTTGTGGTTGCAGCAGATGAAGCTGAAGTTGCAGCATGTGACAGATGAAGTTGTGTTTGCAGCAGATGAAGTTGAAGTTGCAGCATGTGACAGATGAAGTTGTGGTTGCAGCAGATGAAGCTGAAGTTGCAGCATGTGACAGATGAAGTTGAAGTTGCAGCATGTGACAGATGAAATTGTGGTTGCAGCAGATGAAGTTGAAGTTGCAGCATGTGACAGATGAAGTTGCAGTTGTGGAATGTGACAGATGAAGTTGTGGTTGCAGCATGTGACGGATGAAGTTGTGGTTGCAGCAGATGAAGTTGAAGTTGCAGCATGTGACAGATGAAGTTGAAGTTGCAGCATGTGACAGATGAAGTTGCAGTTGTGGAATGTGACGGATGAAGTTGCGGTTGCCACACGTGACAGATGAAGTTGCAGTTGCGGAATGTGACAGATGAAGCTGCGGTTGCCGCACGTGACAGAGGTGTCAGGGCTGTGCCCAGGTTCAGCCTGTGGGGAACTAGGGCGTCAGCATCCTTCTACAGTTGTACATGTCCTCTACCCACAAGCTACACACAGCTGCACATGTTTTCGTTTCTCAGAAGAATGTGCGTGGTTGGAACCGGGTGTATATTCTGCTAGACTGTGTCAACATATATGCATTATGTGTTCAACTATAGGACCTGTAGATGGAGCGTTATGTTCAGCATTTCAACATGCATCATTGTCCTGTCAGTATTTGTACAGTACCCCTTATATACAGTCTGCAGGATCAACAGACAGTCAGTGTTGTTCATGGCCTGCAGGATCAACAGACAGTCAGTGTTGTTCATAGTCTGCAGGATCCACACACTGTTAGTGTTGTTCATGGCCTGTAGGATCCACACACAACTAGTGTTGTTCATAGTCTGCAGGATCCACACACTGTTAGTGTTGTTCATGGCCTGTAGGATCTACACACTGCTAGTGGTGTTCATAGTCTGCAGGATCCACACACTGCTAGTGTTGTTCATAGTCTGCAGGATCCACACACAGCTAGTGTTGTTCATACTCTGCAGGATCCACAAACAGCTAGTGTTGTTCATAGTCTGCAGGATCCACACACAGCTAGTGTTGTTCATAGTCTGCAGGATCCACACACAACTAGTGTTGTTCATACTCTGCAGGATCCACAAACAGCTAGTGTTGTTCATTGTCTGCAGGATTCTCAAACAGCTAGTGTTGTTCATAGTCTGCAGGATCCACCCACTGCTATATGTTGTTCATAGTCTGCAGGATCCACTCACAGCTAGTGTTGTTCATAGTCTGCAGGATCTACACACTGCTAGTGTTGTTCATCGTCTGCAGGATCCACACACAGCTAGTGTTGTTCATCTTCTGCAGGATCCACACTCAGCTACTGCAGTTCATAGTCTGCAGGATCCACACTCAGCTACTGCAGTTCATAGTCTGCAGGATCCACACACTCCTAGTGTTGTTCATAGTTCACAAGATCCCCACACTGTTAGTGTTGTTCATTGTCTGCAGGATTCTCAAACAGCTAGTGGTGTTCATAGTCTGCAGGATCCACACACAGCTAGTGTTGTTCATAGTCTGCAGGATCCACACACAGCTAGTGTTGTTCATAGTCTGCAGGATCCACACACTGTTAGTGTTGTTCATTGTCTGCAGGATCCACAAACAGCTAGTGTTGTTCATAGTCTGCAGGATCCACACACAGCTAGTGTTGTTCATGTCTGCAGGATCCACACACTGCTAGTGTTGTTCATAGTCTGCAGGATCAACAACTGTAAGTGTTGTTCATAGTCTGCAGGATCCACAACTGTAAGTGTTGTTCATAGTCTGCAGGATCCACACACTGCTAGTGTTGTTCATAGTCTGCAGGATCCACAGCTGTTAGTGTTGTTCTATCTGCACTGTTTCATTAATAACCATAACAAATATGCCTCCACCTTTTGCAGATGTTTGTTTATTTATTATTGAATGAGAGATGATAAAAGGAATTTCCAAGGCATTGTATCCACTTCCAGCCTTCCCAGGTCTGGAGAGGTAGTCTGGTGGTTAAAGCCTTCTCTCCTCATGCAAAAGCCCAGGTGTGATTGGGTACAATTTATGGAGCTGATTTCTGATGCCTGGTGGCTCCTTGCTGGCATATTGCCTAATGTGGCATACATCCCTTCTCACTCACTCACTCACTCACTCAGTCATGCAATCACTCACTCACTCACTCACTCATGCACTCACTCACTCGATCACTCACTCATTCACTCACTCAAACACTCACTCAACCATGCACTCTCTCTCAAACACTCACTCACTCACTCCACTCAACCAGGCACTCACTCACTCACTCCACTACACCATTTACTCACTCAACCACGCACTCACTCACTCACACAGCCACTTACTCCAATCTACCTTGTTATCCAAATTTGGTTCTTCTGACAAAGTGCACAGGCAAGTCATTAATTCTCACACAGGTAGTTTGAACTTAATAAACGCCAAAGTCCTCAATAATTTCCTCAAATAATGCTGCTCGAGTTATTTGGCTTTTAAACCACTTAGGGAGTATTCCTGAGGGGACCTTTCTAAGATTGTTTGGAAACAGGTGGGCGCCTTTAATTTGAGTCATTTTGCCTTTAAATGCAGGTGTATGTAGCTGTGCACAAATAAACATGTTTACTGACCTCATAGGATACATGGGTAAATACATGTTCATCTGTGTTCAGCTATGTATTCCTATGATTGTAAATTAGATCCATTTTTTGTTTGTTTACATTCAAATCATCGAAAGGGGGAGTTTTGAGAACTATGTCAGATCAACCTGGGTCTGAATTTCCTGTTTTTGTTGACAAGACATGTAGAGCTACATACCTGGGATAGACCACCATTATGATATTTATATATATATTCCCCAGTGATTGTGTGTACGCAATTCTTGATCCCTGGCTGACATTCTTCTCTACCACAGAACAGACTAAGCTGGGTCAAATACAGAGAAGACCTCCACCACGCAGGCATTACCGTAGATGATGTTGTATGGAGCCGCAGCCCCACACCTTGTTGTCACCCTTAGAGTTCCCGACTCAGTACGTCCCTGTGATGTCGTACACAAACAGCGGCGTCCATGTCGCACAGGTCTGCGTCATATAGACCCTGGTACAGTACCCTCTCCCTCACCTCAGTCAGATCTACGTGGCGATTGCACATACCTAACACTTAACCTGTCCAGAATTCCATGTTATTGTCTGCTAATGTAGGCTCGTCAGACTCAACGGTAAGCGTGCCGACTGGGCAACTGTCTAGCTGTCAAACAGATAGTATCGCCATGTAGTTGGAGCTAAGAGGGGTCGCTACACGGATGGCGATGTGTCAAGCTTGTTCAAAATATACATTGCGTGTAACGTTTGTTGTACGTCAATATGAAACAGACAGCAAAGTTAAGTGAGTGAGTATGGATTTACGCCGCTTTTAGCAATATTACGGCAATATCACGGCGGGGGAAACCAGAAATGGGCTTCACAGAGAGCAAAGAGTGAATGAAAGAGTTTAGTTTATTGCTGCTTTGTCCAGTATTTCAGTAATAATCACGGCGTGTCAGCTTGATGTGGAAGGAAAGTCTTGAATGGGGGTCTAAGAGGTTTACCACTTTGGTGAAACCAACTTGTACGGCTATAGTGCTAACAAACATAGAAACATAATATTGGATTCAAACCCACGATGCAGGGTTCCTGGCAGACAAAGGCACCGCTGGCCAATCGACAGAGGGGGAGGGGCGCGACGGTTGGACGCAATGGCCACGGGAATAACCGACCACCTTGCCAGGTATTTTAGAAAGAAACCAATTTGCGTGGTTT